AAGTAGGCCTGGTACTTTTTTTAGGAAAATATTTTCCTATGAGTATTCCTGAGGGCCAGAAGTCAGCTTTCATCAGGGATTCAACGATTTCACAAGGCACACCAATTTTAAACGAGTTATAAGAGTCGTGTCGTGTCGGGAGCTTTACACAGTCAATCATCCTGTTTGGGAAAGAGGATTCGACATAGCCTTTCACATCACTTTCACTGGTCTCTACTTGAAATCGTGTAACATAGATCCACGATTTTTTACTAACAGCTTGAAAGATACCATTGCCATTACCATTCCCGACAACCAATTTATTGCCGGAAGTGTTCTTTGGACCTCTCACGATTTTAGGGCGGGACTGTCTAGGATTACGATGATAAACAACACGAGTAAAACCTTCTTCATCACATTCACTGCCACTCTGCCTGTGTTCTTCACTACCGGTATCTAGACCTAGGCCTAGTCCAATGTTAGAATCTAGGTTAGGACTACTAGACTGTCTGTTGCTTGACTCACCTGAGTGGTCGTTTTTCTTCTTAGGATTATTGGGAGATTGTCTTACGTGAGAGGGCACAGATTTTAAGACCGAAGAAAAGGTTTTAGAGATAGGCCTACTTCCTTCACGTAATGGTTCCTGGCGATCGTCACGGGCACTACACGGTCGACCAATATGTTCTGTCACCAATTTATTGAGTTTATCGTGACTATCAAGAAGTTGGATCATAATTTCATTTAAACTTTCAACTGAGAGTATTGAAGCTGGAACATCAGAACTTGCTTTCTGTGACAGTTGAAGTTGATCCTTGCATCCTTCATCCATTGCATCCCGGCAAGCAGTACAGATCCACAGCACTATTTTACCAAGCGATACAATTTGGTCAAATTTAACTTTATCAATTTTGAGACAGTTAATATGAAACCATAGACAACATTTCCCTTCACATTGAAGAGCATATTGATTAGATTTAACCTTCTTTTTACATATACCACAAGAGTTATTCGCCTGTAGTAGGGTAGTTTCACTGTACCCGCTATCAAGTTTCTCTTTTTGCAATTCTTAAATTTTAATTTGTTTATACTCGACTCAGGGTGGGTATCAACACAAGACAGTCCATTGTTAATTGTTGATGGTAGCGTTTTATTACCGGTAAGTCTGTTGTTGGAAATAAATCAAACGATTTGGTAGGCGGCTACTGTTGACAATGAGATTTAAAAAAAAAACTTCCTTTTGATGCTTCGTATGTATTGCCTGTTTGATTCATTTGTTGGTTGTGCAAACGAGAGGTGTTGGATAGGATTCTCACAGGAATCTCAATGCCAAACAAGAAAGACTGGAAACTCACAGATTTTAAATTGATGACATCAACCTTGTGTACGGGCTATACTCTAATAGTCGATGATTATTAAAAAAATCGTTGTCATAAACCTCAAAACCGGACTCTCCGCTGTTCCGTGGGGCCAGAAGCCAAGTCAATTTTAAGAGAAATAATTAAAACAATCAAGGGCAATTTCATTTTTAAAGTTCTTGTTGGTCACAAGCTCACATAGCCTACTTTGATATTTTTATTCAGTACTGCTCCAATTAAATGTGGCAAGTATGAGCAAAAGACAATATTTTAGCTTGGGTTTGATTAACCTCACTTTTAATTTACGTATGAGATCAAGATCATTACGTATAGTAATGGTTGACCTTTAAATTACCGGTATCATTGAATAACAAATGATGTTTAGCTTTTTCTTCACTGAAGGCTGAACTGGTTCGATACACATTTGCGATTTAACTATTCAACGAGACTAACTTGTTTTATTTTGCTTACTACGCTATTGACATTTCAAGTTTTTTGAATGGTAGGCCTACTGGCAGGCCCGCAATTTGCATGCACTATGGGTCTGAGAGATGATTGTGCCCCTCTCCAACCACCTTGAGGATATTTTTTTCTCCTCACCCCCCCCCCCCCCAAAACTAAATCCTCTTGAGCTCGGGCCTATAGTCCTTCCTACTAGTCCAAATCATGCGCTTGAAACAATTTAACGTTATGCCTAGCCTTTTGATTTTAAGTGAGCCAGATGAGAATAAGCATCTAGGTCCAGAATCAATCGTACTTTGAATAAAACCGGTAAAGTTCAAATTCAAAGGCGAGCACTATAACCACTCGGCTAATCCAATGTCTGAGTCTTTTTAATCAAACCAAAAATCAATTCTATATTAAGTTAAGTGAAATATAACAGTTTATATACTAAGTTAAACAGCTAAGTTTAGTTTGAATTAAACTAATACCCTAGCCTAAGTTAATAAAAAATGGAATTGTTCCAAACCTAGGTAACATTTCATGTAAAGCGCTTGAAACAATCTGCTAAGTCAGTTGTGTTTGAAGATTTCAGAAAGAGAGTGGAAGTTTAAGTATGTCTGAAAACTTTACGGTACACGGTACAATATTGGTCGTTTCCAGTAAATCCCACAAAGCCTACACGTTTGAAAGTAACTTAAGTAAGTTACCTACTTAAGTTAACCGTAGGCTAAACTAAAAGTTATCAATAAATTAAAAACTTAATGGTAAAATATTTGTCCTGTATTGATTTATTCAGGATTCCACAAAAAAATCTTTAGTGAATTCCCTGTCCTTTTTCTTATACCGGTAATTTCCCTGACCGCGGCATATTTTAGGTAGGTAGCCTAGTCTAATACAGTAAGTTTTCTAATTTAGATTGGTACCTGTAAGTATTTATCGGGAGTAAAAAACGACTTTTTGTTATTTAATTGACCTACATCCTCCTTCACCCCTTTACGCCTCGTTTTAGCGAATTTCCCTGTAGAAAAGTAGCTCCCAATTAACTTTTTTCATTTTGATGTCCCCACCCCTGAGGCCAAAAAACACTACTATTCAATCAATAAATTACAACTTAACTTAACCTATAAGTTCATGATTTATTCAAGTTAAAGTTAAATGTAGGCCTATGTCCATGAACGCGAAGCCTAATTACTTAAGAAATTATATATTGAACCGAATCAAAATCAATATAGCCTATAGGCAAGTTAAATAAGTTATGATAACTTATTTACTCCAAGAATGTATCGCAGGTTCTTTTGAACTAACTTAGGCCTTTACTATTGATTACCGGTACCTTAAGTTTCGTGAATTCATAAGCCATACTGTACCAGGGTTGCCACCCGTCCCGATTCTGCCGGGACAGTCCCAATTTCGGTTCCTTATGCCCACATTTAAGCCTACGTTAATCCAGGGTGTTCCGATTTTTCCCTAACCTAAGGTGGCAACCCTGTACTGGACCAGTATTAAGTTAGAGACGTAATAACTTAGGCCTATAATGCATGGCTGCACTTTAGTTTAGTACGTCTTAACCCTCCGAGTGTCATGCGTCGCTGCAGCGACGCGTAACGCACTTTGTATAGTGTCGTGCGTCGCTGCAGCGACTCGCGAACACTGTTTACGGCGAAGGCTCTATGACTAACTGAATCGGACTGTACTGGATTGAGTTAGGTATCGTTCTGTCCGTAATATTCTAAGCTTTCTGCAGAGGTCTGTCTCTAAGCACTATTCATTTTAGTTCCGAAAATATTGTAGCAGACAGCTGACTGAGCTGACGTGCGTGTATTTGTAAACAGCTAGGTTACCCTCGGACCGATGACTGATGTGTTTTATTACGTTTATCATTGTTTTAGTGTTAAAAATCAAAAGTAGTGATATACGTGGTGCATTATAAGAAGATTTAAGTGGTTTTGAAGTGCTGGTTGATGATCCTGAAGAAGTAGGTAGTGATATTGATGTAAATTATCAGCCAGATTCCTAGCTATGGTTGGGATATGCATTCTTAGCTAAACGCTATGTACTGAAATCTGTTTTTTGCCCATAACTTTTTTATTTGCAAATCTACTTCCTTATATTATTATAGATTTGTAATCCTCATAAAATTTAGAACAAAGTGGCTATTTTCAAATATTTATAGGCCTATAATTTATACAATTTCATTGAGCGCAAACTTATTTTTTTTTGAAAATTTTCGAAATTATACATTTTTTTACCTAAAAAAATTTTTTTTTTTTAAATCTTCCTTATGTTTTATATATAATATTGAAGCCCAAGATTTTCCAAACAAAATGGTATATAGAACAGTATAATTAACATTGTTTTTAAGCTTCTCAGATCAGTTTTAATGAAACCTTGCAAATGAGCAAAAAATAGGCTGACATTAAGGCCAAAACACGTGACACTCGGAGGGTTAAGTAGGCCTACACTCATTCGAATGAATAACTCATATCGAATAATCTAACTTATATAGGTAGGCCTATCGATATTTTTTATTCGAATGAGTGTAACTTAGGACATTAACTTAATGTAAGTACAGCCTAATACACTAAATGCATAATAATATGGCTTAACTTAGTGAAAGTCAAGGGTACACTTCCATACATGTTGGCACAAACAACCGAATGAAAATATTGATCGATTATTCGATAAATCGTTTGGTTAATTCGGTAAGGTTACCATAACCTAACTAAACAAACGCTACATCGAATTAAACAATCGAATAATCAATATTACTAGCCTAATTCGGTTGTTTGTGCCAACAGATATGGGGGTGTACCCAAAGTCATCCCCAATTATAGGCCTATCCAAGTTGACTAGACCTAGGCCTGGCCTAGGCCTACCTAAGGCTAGGCCTGGGGTGTTTTAACCTAACTGATTTCAAGAATTTAAACCAATTATTTGTAGGCTACGTACATAGACAACATGCCAATCAAGAACCACAAATATTATCACCCAAATACAGAATTTGGTGGAACATAGGTTTAGAGTAATAAGTAAAACTACTAAAGGTTTGTTTACATAAAACCTGAATTAGAATCTAGTGTCTATAATGACATAACCTACAAAAGTAGGGAAATGCTCCATTCAGGGTTACAATAACAACATTTCCACATCTCCTAGAACTTTCAGACTGAGTGTTACTCGTGTTTAACTTACATATTTAATAAAATTATGTTTTAAACTTACCAACATGAGTAGTTCACATTCTACCTAAAAACCCGTTCCCCACCTCACTGCACCGCTAACAAACTGAATCTGTTTTCTGATTGGATTTCAGCTTTCGAGCTTCAAAATCAACAGTAGAGGCAACACTGCACGATCAGGTTTGCCAACATCGCAATGTTTTACCATAATTTAAATACCCTGAGGACACTTTTATCCCATAATTTGAAGTCAATGGTACTAGGAAGATGATTATGATTTTGTTCTCTTTCGTCCTTTGTTTATAATATAAAAACTGTTTTTTTTTTATTCTGCCATTGATATAAATGAATACAATAATTCAAATCCAGTTGCTGTATGTCAGTAATTAATAATAATAATAATAATGGGATTTCTAACTAACTACTTCACAAAATAATTCGTTTTACAAAAAATATAAAGCAAAAGTTTTTATTAAGTACACCGAATTTGTAAGCAAAAGTTTTTATAAAGTACACCGAATTTGATTGACTTTGATGAAAATAGTGTTTTCTCAAGTTTAGCTATTTATCAGACGAAAGTGGAAAACGTGTTGGTATTTTGTGTATATTTCTTAAACCTTTTCGTATAACATGTTGTGTATTCACAGAAATTTTTTTATAAATATGTAGATATTTACAAAAAATTAAACATAAGTCTAATTATAATACAGTACCAATACTGCATGTACACGTCTCTGTGCTACTTGTCAAACTGCACCCGGTCGTCCGGTACCGGATTAATTCGTAAAATTACATACATTTCCATTGAGTTTTGTAGAGTCTCTTTGATTTTATAAGATATAGGAAAGTAACATATATGATCAAAACTCCTTAAAAAGTTTTCTTAGTAAACTAAGTACCCTACAGTTTGCTTTTAATTTAATTTATCTGTGTGGAGTTTAAAAACAACAGATATCATAACAGATGTTGAATAGAATGCAGTATATGATCAGTGACGTAAAATGGGGGGGGGGGTTGATCACCCAGGTAGAAAGGGGGTACGGGAAAATTTTTGAAAATATAGGCCCTAAAATGGTTTTTTTAGCTCCAACGTCAGTACAGTATTATTACATAATTTATATAATTATACTTATAGATTATTATATAATTTTAAGTTTAATTTAACAAAAATATATTATATTTAGGACCGGAAGTGGCGGGGTTCGGACCCTCAGGACCTCCACCCCTGGCTCTGTCACTGATATGATAGTTAAATGTCGTAAATTTAAGATGTATTTTCGAAACTAGAACTGCATTAAGACTTAAGAGTCTTCATCAGTGGTAGCCATATTGGATTTTAGTCCCATAAGAGTTAAATGAGAGCAATGTTAAATTTGACAGAACATACATACCATCATTCGAAATTCGAAATTGACGACAAGAGTTCGGCTCTCAATGTAGAAAACGATCATTATGTCGCACGTACAATAATTTGTTGGACCGCACGACTATTTCAAGCTGTTGAGATTGTTGGCAACACTGACGGAGGTTTCCGATATGGGACCTTTCTCCATTCCACCCTGCCCTACCCTAACCCTAGTTCTTCCGTATCCATTCCACCCGTCGGCATTTCGTTCAATCAAACAATATCGAGTAAAGGCGAAAAGGGGGATACGAAATTGAGAACCCTAAATCCTCGACTTAGAATCAATGCTAGAAGGACTTGCGCTTTCGACAGTCTTCAAAAAATAATTGGTTTCAATTATCCTTCCGTCTCTTTCTTTTGACAGTTGAAATTCGAAGTTATTTTATAAACATAATTATAAAATTCGTTTTGAAATTCACAACCTAAAATATTTATTCTACCGACTCACTAGAAGTTGCAGGAAAATGATAGTTTTCCACTACAAAACGGGTTTGTTTCATCCTTCACTAATATTTGGGTTATTCCTTTGTTACTGCCCAAGACCAGATGTTTAATCAGTAAGGATAATCTTCTCTTCTATATATAAAGCCAAAAGTACCCATGAACTTTTGAGAAAACTACAAGTCACACCCCCATGAACCATATACTTAAAATGTTCGTCATGACGAGAAACCTTGCGCAAAATTATCCATATTTCATAAATTGCCCTATAAGGTCGTAATTGTTTTCCAAAGGGAACTTTCCATTTACCTAATGTTAAAAATACATCAGCTGTTATTATTTGTTTGTATTACCATTACTGTATTATTCTGTTTTGTTTATTTCATCTTAACTTAACCAATCAATAGTTTTATTAACACTAATGTAGTAAAACGGGGTGGGGTAATTATATCGACCTCCGGACCTCACGCGAAATTAAAATTTTTTTTTTCTAAATGGTCGAAATTTCACGCTGATTTCAAAAATGATTGTCGTTTTTTTTTCGGAAACGTCCCGTTTTCCCGGAAAATGGGAAAAACGGGAAAAATATTTTTTGCTCAAAACCTATGTTGTGGGTACTCAAATTATGCGGAATTTCCTCCTGAACAAGAATATGTAAATTTTATTACGATCGCTTTTAAGTAAAACATCACCGGACAGGTTTACTAACCTAACATAACCTAACTTAGGTTTAGATTAGGTTAGGTTAGGATGGGTTAGTTTAGGTTAGTTTACTTACAATACTAACCTAACCTAACCTAACCTAAACTGACTTATCCTAACCTAACCTAACCTAAACTAACTTATCCTAACCTAACCTAAGTTCCTAAGATAGGTTAGGTTAGTTTTTCAATAACATGAGTATTGTAAGTAAACTAACCTAACCCAACCAAACTTAACCTAACCTAACCTAACAAAACTCAACCTAACCTAAACCAACCTAACCTAACCTAACTTAACCTAACTTAACCTAACCTAACCTAAACTAACCTAACCTAACCTAAACTAACCTATCCTAACCTAACCTATCCTAACCTAACCTAAGCAAAAAATATTTTTCCCATTTTCCGTTGGACCAAGTGAGAAGTGAATCAAGACCCAAGACCTCAGGAGCACGATCTCAGATGACGGGACCAAGTGAGAAGTGAATCAAGACCCAAGACCTCAGGAGCACGATCTCAGATGACGGGACCAAGTGAGAAGTGAATCAAGACCCAAGACCTCAGGAGCACGATCTCAGATGACGGGACCACGTGAGAAGTGAATCAAGACCCAAGACCTCAGGAGCACGATCTCAGATGACGGGACCAAGTGAGAAGTGAATCAAGACCCAAGACCTCAGGAGCACGATCTCAGATGACGGGACCAAGTGAGAAGTGAATCAAGACCCAAGACCTCAGGAGCACGATCTCAGATGACGGGACCAAGTGAGAAGTGAATCAAGACCCAAGACCTCAGGAGCACGATCTCAGATGACGGGACCACGTGAGAAGTGAATCAAGACCCAAGACCTCAGGAGCACGATCTCAGATGACGGGACCAAGTGAGAAGTGAATCAAGACCCAAGACCTCAGGAGCACGATCTCAGATGACGGGACCAAGTGAGAAGTGAATCAAGACCCAAGACCTCAGGAGCACGATCTCAGATGACGGGACCAAGTGAGAAGTGAATCAAGACCCAAGACCTCAGGAGCACGATCTCAGATGACGGGACCACGTGAGAAGTGAATCAAGACCCAAGACCTCAGGAGCACGATCTCAGATGACGGGACCACGTGAGAAGTGAATCAAGACCCAAGACCTCAGGAGCACGATCTCAGATGACGGGACCAAGTGAGAAGTGAATCAAGACCCAAGACCTCAGGAGCACGATCTCAGATGACGGGACCACGTGAGAAGTGAATCAAGACCCAAGACCTCAGGAGCACGATCTCAGATGACGGGACCACGTGAGAAGTGAATCAAGACCCAAGACCTCAGGAGCACGATCTCAGATGACGGGACCACGTGAGAAGTGAATCAAGACCCAAGACCTCAGGAGCACGATCTCAGATGACGGGACCAAGTGAGAAGTGAATCAAGACCCAAGACCTCAGGAGCACGATCTCAGATGACGGGACCAAGTGAGAAGTGAATCAAGACCCAAGACCTCAGGAGGTTGGGGGAGAGTCTGAAGGTAGCAGAGAACAGACAACAGTGGAGGCAAATTGATGGCGAGGTTAAAAATCACTTAGGATTTGTGTGGCCACGTGTTTACAATACAAAAAAGTATGGTTTTCTTAATATTAAGTTTCACTATAGTAATATCTCGAATGCATTTTTTCTCCTGGCAGCAAACGTAATTTACAGTCAGAGCCAATTGCATTTGTACTGAACTGAATCTAACTGTAAATTTCCATTCTAAACCTTTTTCAAATCTCAGCATAGCAACCGGAGATTCGCTTAGTCTACCGATTTGTTGCAACTGGACAATATTAAATTTTATAACTTGAGCTAATTTTCCAGTTCAGTGAAGCACCAATTAGGTGGAACTTGAAACATTACCTCAAGCCATCCCTCAATTTTGGGATCGTAATATTAATTATTATTATCTTTATAATTTCAGACAGCGACGCAAATTTATAGGTGCGTACTTTATGCTGAATATGAATTCAACACGAGTATAAACACGTAACGTTTATCCAAATGAAATGTTTATTCATGTTATTTCGCTATGTGCTCAAACTACTAACCTAAACATTCGTTATCATATCGAGTTGTTTAAAAAGTTCCTTTTCATATCTGGCTGGAGTAGTTAAAAATCGTCACTAAAGACGAAAGCAAATACACGAAACATTGAACACAAATTTAGAAAACTTTGTATTAAGCTCGATGATAGTTTTAACCTTTAAGTTTGAAATCGTTGTCACTGAATAAGATTACGACAAATATTTTCTTCCTTAGAATCGCCATAGACAAAACATCCTCCCTTAGTCTTTTGTTGCTTAGTCTATATGGAATTGCATGGCTAAAATATCTGATACTATTAATTTTAAAAGATGAAACAAACTTATCTTGACCAACAATCATTGGACCATTTCTGGCTATGGGTTTCTGTAGTATGCTGTAAACAGTTTACGTAATTATCAACATCAACCCAAAAATAATTTAAATTCAATCCTAAGGGAGGGGGAAATCAATGTAGCCAACGCAAACAGTGGAGGGAGCAGAACGAAAATAAAA